TTTTACTCATTAAGTAAAACTATTACCATATACACCCATTGACATTCAATGAATCTGTTCCTCTTATATCTCGTAATAAAATAACAAACTTAAACACGCTTCGTTTTTAGAAGCAATAACTGATCAGTTTTCGAGTTACTTTAATCTACAAGGGAGTAACTAATGCGTAAAAGAGTCTCCACTATGGATCGAGCAAAAAGCAGGATTAATATGTTATATTTATCTGTTTTTTGTACAACCCGGTAAGTTTCAATATGATCGTTTTGAGCTTTTTTATTCAAATCCGTTTTATTAAATGAGCAGTAAACAACGTTCTAAAAAAGCAAAAAATAGTAAAAATAGTAATCATATACTCAATAAAACAATGACAATCAATCTTTTCTTGAGTTAAGGGCAACATTTTCAATACGTTCACCTGTTGCACTTTATAATAGCCGTCTCCTTCTTTCATCTCACTTCAGCAATTTCAATGATGTCAGATCACGGACATTATATTTTGGATGTGATCGATTCGTATCATATCGCTGTTTCGCTAGTTGTTGCTGCTGGAGAATATTTTGTTTTGCTTGTCGGATAGCCACATTTTTAAATCGATTGACAATAGCCCAATACAGCAGTGTCAACTTCCACAGTTCCGTGGAAATTCCTGTAGAATTCTGCAGCACTGCAGAACTCAACCACACATTCAACTCTACACTGTAACTAAGATTCTGTTCGGAATCTGGTTGAATTCTGGTAGAATTGAACCAGGGGGAGGATAGGAGGGAACATGAGAGTGAGTACTGATAGCTTGAATTCTGCTGAATGCTAGTAGAATTGCGCCAGATTCTGCCAGAATTACAGCAGGATTGAGCAGAATCTGCCAATTCGTAGAGAGAATCTAAATGTGAACTAATATAACTCGTAGAACTAGAATTGGAATTCTACCAGAATTCAACCAGATTCCGAACAGAATCTTAACTACAGTATATATTTGAATGTGAAGTTGAATTCTGCAGTTCTGCAGAATTCTGCCGGAATTTCCACGGAACTGTGGAACTTGACACCACTCGCCCAATAGTCGTTGGGTTTTGAAAATTTAACATCGGCGCGTGGATGATCAAATGGACTTCTTGGCTTACGGCAGAATGCTAGTTGATACAGTGAAAAACCCGTCGATCTATGTGTTCCATTATTATATGTAAATACAATCGACACCACATGGGTGTCCCAGTTTGCTTGATCTGTGTCGTAATATTGCGATAATTGTGTTGTGAATGCTGCATGGAATCTTTCAGTTTGTCCGTTTGTTTGACGATGAGACACAGTTGAAAAGATATGTTTGCAACCAATTAACGAGGTAATAGCTTATATTAAGTCATTATTAAAATGTTGTCCTTGGTCAGAGATGATTTTGTGTGGTGCTCCATGTACAAGAAGAACATGTTCCGTCAGACTTTTCGGCCGTTGCTTGCGCCAGTTTGTTGAAGATGCTTTTGCATATACCGATGAGCCAAAAGAGAGAGAAAGACAAAAAATAGAGAGATCAAAAACAAAGAAAGAGTAATACGTGGAAAATGATGGATGTGAGACGGATAGATGTATATAATTGCATGAATTGAAGAAGTAAACGGTGAGAAAAGGATGGTTCTCAGTGTTTCCCCCATACATTTTTATTTTTAAGCCCCCCCTCCCCGGGTCAGAAATGCCGATTTTCGGCAATAATATTGATTTTGAGAAAAGCCCATGGTTGGATAGCCCAAAGTGTCTACTTTCTAATGACATAATTTTTGTGTTGATAGGATAGGTTTTTCATAGCTTTTGAGCGAGTTTTCCAGAAGCCCCATAGCAAGAAAAAATTGGCTTTTTTGCACTTTTATTGCATAAGCACATGCATGTGCCGCACATGACCGCGCACATGTTCAGTAGATCCGCCATGACCGATAACCTCTAGCAAAATATCGACAAATTATTTAACGCTCAAACAGTTTTTAAGTAAAACGCGTTTAACAGAATCAGAACTTATTTTGCGTTTTTCTCGAAAGTGTTTTTTTATGTTTTATCTGTTAGTATTTCCAAGATTTCTCCACCGTTTTTAATGATAGAAAGGTCGGGAAGATTTTAAAATGAAACTAAAGCTCAGCACTAGAGCATAGCAAAGCCAGAACTTTTGTTTTCATTTTAGTTCTTTATGAAAAAATCGAGTTTTCTAAAGAGTTAACCTCAAGTTTTTCCAAAAACCTATTTCAAGAGAAATTTTTTGGTTTTTTCAAAAAGCCGGCTTTGCTATGCTCTAGCGCTGAGCTTTAGCTTCAATTTAAAACCTTCCCGAGCTTTCTAGCATTCAAAATGGTGGAGAAATCTTGGAAATACGAGCACCTACTTTTCACCCTTAATATCAGGATAACTATCGCAAAACTCAATATTATGAACTGAATTTTTTACTGAAGACTATCCAAGGTCAGATGCATATTCAGTAAAAATTTCAATAAGGTTGAGTGCTCTGGAAAAACATTTTTTTGTGACCCGGGGATGGCCCTTACGATATACAACAAAATGATAAATATGTTTTTTCTTGAAAATTTCGTTTCTTTGCCGCAATCGTCAGTTTTAGGAGAGCCATGGGCATCTCAGCTTAATATGAATATGTCAACTCCTTGGTGTAGAATGGCATGGCTTGTATGATGGTTCTGCCCATTTTTGTGAAACTGCTCTAATTCTTCCTCCAGGTTGGTGTTCTACCGTGGCTGTCTTCTAATATAGAAGGATATTTAGAGACACGTCAACTGGCCGTCAGAAGTGACCGGACACCTCTAGTATCGTTTTAAGCAGCGTCGTCAGGGTCTACATACGATTTCTATAGGGAAAGTAGCGTTACAAAAAGTTGCTCTTTCAATCGATTAGACGTACTTATGGAACTCTAATCATCTTGCGTGCTTCAACGACCGCCGCTTGTACATTGTCTCTTTTCAAAAAGTGTAAACTGTTTTTATTTATGATCTAGATCATTTCTTTTCCTTACCACTATGGGCAATAGTAATAGTAAACCGCCATGTCCTTTTGATGATTTATTCCACCGTAAATATGATCACACGCTGTCGATGAAGGTCATTCCGGGGCAGAGCAAATGAATTCTACTTCGCTTGTCGCACTGTGTGTCTTACTGCTGGAAGTGTCTGATGCTTTGTAACGATCAAATGGTATGAGAGCAGATAAATGCATGATGCATAATAAAAGATAAGATTAGTATAGCAAAAACTTTTATATTAAGAAATGGCGCATGTCTCAGACTGTAATTCATTTGAATTATTCGGAAAATGCCCACCTTCGACTTTTAACCAGAAGTTCGCCTAGCGGCTCACTGTGTACGTCACGTCTGTTTTATAGTTTAGAGGCAGCAAACCATCATACTAGGATTCCACGGTATGAGTAAGCAGAAATGCAGATTTTCGGCTTCCACCCTAAGCCTGTCAATATAGTCGGTAAAAAGACCGATGACTCATCGTTTTTACAATCTACTTTTCACTTACTTACTTTTCCTTTGGAGCAGTTTGTGATTATATTTTGTCCTAATGGATATTTTGATATGACTCAAATTCTTGTCATAGCCGTTTTTCGCGGTTTGCATTTGGAAAGTATTTAATCAGTCTCTCTACTAAATATTCACCGTTGCAGAAAGTGACTACTCGGTTATGGTGGACGAAAATGGTAAAACAAAGGAGGTTAAGATAAGTTAGAAGAGAAGGCTAGCGGAGATCCTCGACGCTTATTGGTTGAATGCATGAGGAGAATAGATGATTCATTCTTTCTGATTCTTTTATATAATCCTTGATAGAGGCACTGGACGAAGTTTCATTGATTGAAAAATATTAGCCGCGTAAATGCAAAGGAGATTGTGCTGTTAAGTCCATTTGTATCCGAAAACAAAAGAGGGTGCTTTGGTTTTCTGTTTTGGGATTAGATACGACTTCATTCTTGTCATACGAAAGAAAACAGTAAAAAAAAGTTTTTATCGGTAATTGTACGGTACTGGTGTGTATCAGTGTGAAGTGATATTCTTTGTTTGGCACGGGTGTGCACTGGTGCAAAACTTGAAAGGTTTTCTGGCACTAATCGGCTTGTCCACATAATGCGACACTTCTTTGATCAAGCTTTTTTTAGTTTTTTTCATTAGAAAATCGATAGGGCACATCACTAGACGCAGCTTTTCATACTGATCACGAATCTGACTTTTGTTTTGAAGAAAAAATTAATTTTCTATATAAAAATTTTAATTTCAATTTTCTGACTCAGACATTTTGTTCAAAAAATTTTAAAAACGTACCAGTAAACAGAGAATTCAATTCTCTACAAAATGGCTGGCTCATTTTGTTTTGTGATCTATTTTTCAGTCGATACACAATGGCTGCTTCAGTGTTTCAACTTCGGTCTTGGTCTGAAAGCCTCAGAGGATTTTTCGAACTTTATTTTCAACTGGAGTCTTTTCAGGAAACCTAGAACTACACAGACTATAAGTATGAAGTTTTTTGAACAATGTTTAGTGCCAAAAAATGCTGCGAGAAAAAAGTGTGTCACAGCGTTACTTTAGTAAATTGGGTTTTATAAACAAAGTAAAGGGTTCTGAAAAAATTTTTTTAAAAAAGAAAGCGCGTTAGCTCCTCTATAAATTTTGTTCAAGACACTTTTTATTAGCTATTCTAAACTCGCAGAAATTTGTATTTTAATGAGGAGTAGTTAGAATTTAGGGCCCTTTTATGTCACAGCGTTAAAAACGTTCATCTCGTGTGAGAATGAGTAGTGTTGTGTCACATGATTCGATCAAAGTTCACCATTAATATCATCCGAACATCCTTCTCGTATGTCTTCCAAACATACTGATGAATTTTTAAAAATATTGCTATATTTATTTTCAGTTTCACCATAAATGTCAGCTGCTCCATCGACCATTCCAGCTCCATCTTCATGAACTACAACAGCTTCAACTGTTATTAATATCTGTCTATTACACTGAAGATTTTGCAATGTTAAGATATTCTCTAGCAACGCTTATCAGTACAGTACGACATTATAAACACATATTTGCTACAAATGGGTATTTATCAATAATGCCAACATTTCTACATCTCTATTCGAATATTCAAAGTAATCCAATTAAAAAAGCAATTGAATACTGTTGTAGACAATTTTATATCTTACATCGTGTGCCATTCCTATTACAAATGTTGGGTAGTATATCGCAACTACTGGATTTTGATGAACAAGCTGATATAACCGATACAAATAAAATACAACCAGTCGCATTATTTCGTTTATTAATTGCATTGGAATATAATCATCAGGGGTGCAGAATATGCCCTTCTGCGCCAACGCGCATTGGGGGAAATTTTGAAAAATTATTGACTTTGGAATTTTTTCTAATGGGAAATTATTATTTTATACGTAAATGATCTGATATGTTCATTAGGAGAGAGTATAACGTTAGTACATTTTCTTTATTTCTTTCATCATTGAATGTATTCAATCATGAGCATGTATATATTTCTCTATACCTTAATTTTGTTTTACTTCTTTTGATTTTCAAATATAGACATTAAAACTTTTCGTGTCAGTTATGCTGTCCTCATGTTATTCTTTGTTTTCTTTTTTTTCTAACATACCTAAACAAAATCAAAAGCATGTCCATATAGGCAAAGTAAAGGATATATATGTATAAAACAAAGTAGAAAAAAAAAGAAAAAGAAGAAGAAAGGAGAGATAAACGTTAAAGTGAAAAATCTGAATAGTGATAAACACAAATAACCACGAATAAACCGAACTCACTCACACAAGTACAGAATTTACAAGTGGAAATGTTTCCAAGTAAAGAGCAAGTAACATGTTTTTACTGCGATTGGAATGGTCGTAAAGATAAAGCGAAAGACCATTGCAAAAAACAACATCCAGGTAAAAGTTTTAAATTGAAACTTACTGAAAATAACATGGAGAAATTGTTTCAAAAACAAACAAATAATGATGCAACAATTCAAGATGCTAATGCTGATGAACAAGGACAAGAAGGACAAATTTCTACTGCAGTTTCACCATCACTTTCAACACTAAGTACTTCTCATGTCTTCTTTCCTCTTCTGTGTCTGCTTCTGTTTGTACAAGTCCAATAGGAAATTCTATTACTGATCAATTAACATCAATGTCAGAACAATTAAATAAACTAACAGATGCAGTTGAACACGGTCTCTGAAAATCCGTTTTTTGAAGTGCACTTACGAGGGAACATATCTAACTGATCAATCGCTTTTTTCATCAAACCTAGTGGGTTGTAGGTTATCGACCACGCTGATTCCGAATATCCATATGAGACGGACCGCTAGGCCTCCCTAGAGCGGTTTTTCAGAAACCTCGAAAAATCGCCGAAAATTTCCCTTTATGCCACGATTGTAGCCCGCGAAATTATGATCAAAATGAGACATCTCCGACCTCTACGCGACCTTTCTTTGCGAAGTTATAGAATTTACAAGAAAAACCCTAAAGGACATCGGACGGTTTCTGCAAGAAAA